TCAGCTCCCCTCCCCGTGGCTCCCGGTTGGTATCTCTGGAACAAACATTTGAGACTGCCCGCGCTCGGGGCACGGAGGGCCCCCGTGCTCAACAGGAGGGGAGGAAAGAAAGTTCCATGTCAGACTGGTTTGACTCCGGAGCTGAGAAGTGCCCGCGTGGGCAGCTCCCTCCGCCGGTCGCGGTGAGGCCGCTCCGGGAGTGGCCTCAGGTTGCTTCTTGTACCTGGCGCAGCAGGTACAGCGAAGGGCGATATGTTACTTCAGTTAACCGCGTCCTGGTTTGCTTTCTCCATGTTCCTTAAGTAGCACGCATTGTGCTGCACATACACCAGCCATTTTTTTTCCCGATTTTTAGATTTCTTTTACCATGTGTAATATCTCTTCAATAAGATCAGCAAAAATGAATATAGAATATATGACTAACGGTAATGTGTGAAAAAAGATTCTTTCAATCTGTGTGGGCTGGCCTCATATCATCTATTTATGACAGAGAGAGGATCTGATTTCCTTTGGGCGGTATCGAACAACTTTAACTGTTATAGTGCCTTTTTTCTTCTGGTATCCGTGGCTGTACACTCTCCAAGTTCTGAACAGCTAAATCATAATTCTCCAAATATTCCGCTTTACTACAGTCCTTGTTCCCACAGCAGGCTCATTCTCTACAAAAAAAAGGTGGTGATCTTATAGAAAAAGTGCGATAAATGTTAATTCAGCATTTCCTGGCTTGCTTAAAATATTTTTCTTTGTACAATTTTCTAGATATCCCTTTTAAGCAATTTGAAAAAACATAAATTCCATTGCACTGAAGTCAACGTAGCTCATAAAGCACTGGAGCTTGTAGGTCCACTGCAGATACGTGGCACTTGGGCTAATGGAGTGACTGATAGCAGTAGGATTTTGTCATTCTTTAGAGGAGCGCTAGAAGACTTTTTCTGACAGTCAGGAAACTCAGTCAAGGGACTCAGATTTCCTCTGCTTCCTTCCAGGTTCTAGAGGGAATTCTGTTTTTGTAGGCACAGACTTCTGCCTCTCTTTCCCAAGTGTAATTCCAACTACATAATCATCTGCAACTTTTTATTTTTGATTCAATCCTGGTGTTACCTCCCAAATCACTAGGTCTTGCTTATCCATTAACAGTCTTACTTTACACTTCTCATCCTAGCTTTCTCATCTCCAAGCTTTCTCAGCTTGTTCCAACTCTAATTGCTGTTCACTTTTTTCACTCTCATCCACTTTTCACTGTCGTTACTTGTCCAACCAACGCCATTTATATTC